AGTGTGGAGGACGTACTGAAGTGGGGAGAGATTTGAGGCAAGGAGACCAATTAGGAGACAGTGGCAATAATGTAGGTGAGAGGTGGTGAGATGAGGGCCTGAAGTGAGGTGATGATAGCTGTGGGAGAGCATAAAAGGGATCAGATTCGAGAGATGTTGTGAAGGTAGAAATGTCAAGGTTTGGCAACAGATCGTTTATGTGTGGTGAGGGAGGATGAAGAGTCCAGGGTGATGTTGAGGTTACAAATTGGAAGGAAAGTAATGTCTTTGAAGGAAATAGAGAAGTTTGGGAGGGGAAAGGTTTGAGGGGAAGTTAATGAGGCAATCTTTGGAGATGTTGGGATTGAGATTTTTCTGGAACATATCATTTGAAATGTCTGATAAATAATTGGAGCAAATATCTGTGTCATCTCTCCTTTTCTGTCTGTCACTTTATCTCTCTGTCTCTCTGTCTCCATCTCTCCCTCCCTTTCACTCCTTCCTTTCCTCCCTCTCCCCCACCCCCCGTCTCTTTGTCTCTGTCTCTTGTCTCTTTGTTTCTGTCTCTCTCTGTGTAACTTGGCAAATAGGCCTGCATTCCCTGTCATTCCCTGAAAACAAAGTAATATGTTGAGTAGGAGTTTACAGGACCATAGATTTAGAGCTGAAAGGTTCCTAACATGCTTAGGCTGCTAGACGGCAGGTAAGTAACTGCCCAAGGTCACTGTGGTACCAAGCAGCAGAATTGTTATTTAAACTCAGTATTCAAATTCTGAAACCAGTTTTCTTTTCCTTTTGCTATACTGCGTATGTGCCAGGCACTGTGCTAAGTATTTTACAAATGAATGTTGTGAAGTTGCAGGCTGTAAATCAGTAGGAGTTCAAATGATAAAGTTTCCAGTTCCCAAGAGTGCCTCATTGTGCTTTGTTGCCAGACAAAGCACTGATGGAGTCGGCTGGCTTGGATAATGCCTTTCCCCCCTCCCCACCGTTTCATTCTCATCCTCTTCTCAGATCTTGACTTCCTTTCTTTCCGGTAACCCTGCAGAAGTATTGCATGCAGCCTGAAACAGCATGAATTGGGCACAATAGCCTCATAGCTCATATGTAACAGCACTTTACAAAACATTCTCACATACCATTCATCATCTCATTTGACACAATTCTGGAGTGGAGGCAGCAAGTATTTTTGCCACCGTTTTAAAGCTGAGGAAACTGAGATCCAAAGAAATATGGTGAGCTGGTGAAAAGAATATGGGATTTGGAGTCAGAATTTCTGGGTTCAAATTTCAGCTCAATTACCCATTACCTGAGTGAGTTTGGCCAAGTCACTTCACATCTTGAAACCTCAGTTCAAGATTTTTCTATCTCCCTTTTCCCATCCATGTTTGATGTATGATTGACACATTCAACTTTTTTTCTGGTCATACTTTTCTTGAATGATAGCCCTCCCCACTTTTCACTCCATCCTCCACTTAGCTGCCAAAGTGATATTTCTAATGCAACCATCTGAGCATATCATATGGGTAAAAGGTAGGCAAAGGGTAGGATTAAAATATGCATAATGTGTGGGGGTTGTAAGTTTAGGCATGTCACTAAGGGTGACTTGCAGATGAGAGACATTATTAAAGACTTGTACTAAATGATTATAATATGAGTTGGTCATGAGTTAAGAATGGCCAACACATGGACTGCCCAAGGGGTGCATTGGTACTTCCAAAATAGTAAAAGAAAAAGAAGGCTCCAGACAGCATTGTGGGTAGATTGTCTATGGAGGAGTTACAGAAATGGACAGGAAATTTTGTAGGAGGAGAAGGCATGAAGAAGTAGTGATTAATTGTGGTAAAGAATACAGGCACCTAGGTGTTACAATAGATAGAGAACTGGATTTGGAATCAGGAAGACCTGAATTCAAATGCAGACTTAGAAACTTACTAGCTGTCTGACCCTGGGTAATTCACTAAATTTCTGACTGCCCCAGTTTCCTCATCTGTAAAATGGGGATGATAATAGCACCCATCTCCTAGAATTATTATTATAATCAAATGAGATAATATTTGTAAATCACTTTGTAAACCTTAAAGCAATATAGGAATACTAGCTATCGTTATTTTCATCATCATCAACAACAATATCCCTTTGTCCAATTAAAAAAAAAATCAGATTTGCAAGGCCAGGGTTAGCAGCACTCCTAGTACTTGTAGAAACTGTATTTAGAAAGAGCTGATTGTGTTATGGACTCAAATATCAAGGCTAGATTGTTACTTTTGACTGGGAAGTGGCCGTTGGGATGAGACTCATAGTCTATACTCTTCAAGGGAAGGAAAGGACATGCTGGAATCCTTTCTCAATGGTCTGATCCCTTCAGAATTTTCCTGACTTAATGTATGGCATTCATTGGACCATAGATTTATAGTATGTTAATCAGGCTGTTACAAGGATTGTGGGTAGAGTCCTTCAATATCATTCACTTCTAAAGGTGGGGAAACTCCTCTGGTATGACAGTATTAGTTCATTTGTACATGTAAGTCTTCAGCATATCCCTGATACTGACCCCCTACTTGTCTATCTCTTGAACTTGGACTAGCTCTCTTACACCATCCACACTCCTATTAGTTATTCAGAGGTGTTTCTGAGAGGGATGACCAATGCTACAACTCACTCTAGGGTCCTATTCAAGGGTGTCCTGGAACCAGCTTATACCGGCTTGTGAGAGATGAATGTTAAATTTTCATTGTGAACATTTACACCTTAGAAACTGTCAAATGATGCAAATGAGGGCTTGATGTATTGCATTGTTGATTGTCTAGACTCTTATTAAGACAGCAATAGAAAAAGAGTTAGTGAAGCCAATTAAACTTAAAAGTTTGTCATGTACATTTTTTCCTGAGAGCCAGTTATTATACATTTACCCACACACTACTGGTCCTTTTACTCACGACTGTAGTTCCTATGGCTCATTGGTCTGTTTCCCATTTAAACAAATCAGGCAATATAATTTCTGTAAGTCTTTTAAAAATATTTTATATTATAAATGAAATTAAATTAATGAAATGGAAAATAAAGTTAATCAAAATATATTTTATATTATAAAATATAACATTTGTTTTATACATTTATATTTATGTATTTTGTATAAAATATCTTTTGTTTTTATATCATGTAATTTCTCCCCTAAATTTCTCATTTTCCCCCTCTCAAGAGCTGTCCTTTAGAAATTTTTTTGAAAGAAAAAGAAGAAAAAACAATTCAGCAAAACTGAGCAACCCATAAAAAAATCTGACATTATATGCATTGTTTCACACTTATGTACCCCTTACCTCTGCAAATGAGTGGGAGGGGAGAGAGTATCTTCTCATATCTCTTCTTTGGGATCAAGTTTATTCTTTGAAATTTCATAACATTCATTTTCAGTTGTTTTGTGGTGGTTGTTCTTTCCATGTTGCGGTCATTGTATATGTTATTTTCCTGTCTCTGCTTACTTCATTTTGCCTCGTTTCACGTAAGTCATTCTATGATTCTCTGTATTTATCATATTGGTCTTTTAAAAAAATTACAGCACAGGGATATTTAATTACATTCTTGTACCACAATTTATTTAGTCATTTCTCAATCAGTGGACATCTACTTGTTCCCAGTTCTTTGCTCACAGAAAAAGTGCTGCTATAAATATTTTGGAAACCATTACCTCCTAATCATGAAACATTTACTGAAAAAGGTAAAAGCAAGATTAATCATAACAATCCACTTCTAAACATGAGTCATGCTCTCCCACAAACTCATACAATATCTTTGGGGGAGAGTGATCACAGACCTGTAGGAACTTGGTCATGTGGCCTTGTAGCTCTAGTTACTGACTTAATCAGAGAAGCAGTTGAAATAGTAACCTAAGAAACCTATTCATGGGGCCGGATGCAGAGTAGTTACTCAATAAATACCAATTTATTGATAAATAAATACATGTAGTCAAATCAATGTAAGTAGGAAAGCCTTAGCTCACTTGTTTCTGATTACATCTTGTAGCTTATTAACATTGTGATGGTGGATGGTTCACCAATGGCTCATTTGCTATTGGTTATGTGATAGGACTCTGTAGAGCAGTTGGAAAAAAATGGACCCACATGCAACACTCCTGAGTACAAATATAATTCAGAAATATTTTTAAAAATACATATAATATAATAGAACAATAGAACATTTGGTCTTCTAAGTGAATATGAATATTCTAAGTCAGGTCTGCCCAAGATAGCATGCCAGGCTGGGAGTCAGGAGGACCAGAGTTCAAATCTGGCCTCAAATACTTATTAGTTGTGTAACCCTGGGCAAGTCACTTAACTTTGTCTCAGTTTCCTCTTCTGTAAAATGAGTTGGAGAAGAAAATGGCAAACCACTCCAGTATCTTTGCCAAGAAAACCCCAAATGGGGTCATGAAGAGACCAACATGACTGAATGATTCAAGAACAGCAGTAACAAGTAATATGTGGTCCACAGAGATCCTTAAATATGGTTGAGTGGCCCAGTTTCTATTTGGATTTGACACTGCTGGCATAGAAAATGGTAGTGCTGTAGAGAAGGCAGTCTGACCTACAACACTGTTAGGCCAGTTGTTTACCCAGCAAATCTCCTGATAGAGAATCAAGAACTGTTGGACATAATATGAAGATTTCACAGAATGGTGTCATCCTTCTTGGTTCCACAAGCTCACTGGATGTTCAATTTGCCTTTGACCATCACTGATTCACCACTGATAGTAAGTGATAATTACTACCTTTAGTTAACAGTCCACTTACTTTTTCTTCCTCTAACAAAATAGCATTAAATAAAAAAGCTTCTTCTTTAAATTATACTTTAGCCATGAATACATTTATAAGGCATTAAGAATACCAAACAAAGTTCCACAAAAAATGCATATTGATGTCTTGGACATACTAGTATAAACACTACTTTTGAAAAGTTTACATTTAATCTGAATTTGCAAAAGTAGGTTAGAAATACAATCTTTTCTTTCTTTTTTTCTTTAGCTAACAGGTTTCAGTGGATCAGAGGGAAATGCTTTATGTGATGAACAAAATAAAGAGAACCAGTGTTTGGAAAATCAGACTGATGACAAGAAGATAAAGGTAAGAATTGAGGCATTTTGTTTGTTTCCATTGTTACTGAGTCAGGTTTTTTTTTCTTTGCTGTCTCTTGTGATGTTTTTGGGAAATATTTATTTTTCAAAATTTTCAGTTTCATTTTTCATAATAGAGTAACTTTACATGTTTGGGGAAAGACATTTTGCTGTGATAAGGTCAAGAAGAGCAGGAATGTATGATTTACTTCACGTCTTTGACTGGGTTGGAACACTACCTTCTTCATGATCCTGAACGTGTCTTATCGTGAGTGATGGATTTTTCCCATTTGGGGCTTTGTGTTTGAGTGAGTGGGAAGCTTTGTTTCTACATTTTACTTGTTAAATGATTGATATTTTAAACTAAACACAACTTCACAGGTTTCATGCAGTCTTATCCAGCCTTCACCCTCAGCCCACACTTTGGACTATGTTCCATTCCTCCATGACCCTCTGAATCCTGTAAGAGGCCATTTGGGTAGTCGCCACCCATTTTGGTTTAGGTAGGGCATATGCAAATGATCTTGAAATGGCCATGAAAAGATCAGATTTTATGGGATATTTGCTGTAAATGTTTATAGAATACTTTCTATAGATTTAGGTTACTGTGTTTAAATTGTTGCCTGGTATATAACAAGAAAAAAATCTCTCCACACTAGCAGTGAAATGACTTGCATTTGGAGTCAGAAGATCTGACTCAGAAGATGTGTGTTCTAATTCTGGGTCTACTCTTACTACCTATGGAACCTAGGTAAGACACTTAACTTTTCCGGCCATCCATTTCCTCTCTAGTAAAATGAGAGAATAAGACAGGATGACCTCTAAGGGCTCTTCCAGCTCCAGATCTAAGATGGTATAATCTTATAATGATCCTCAGGGCAAAGAAAAAGGAAGAGAAACATGTATGATTATGTTTTGGAGTAAGAGCCTTCTAACTTTATTCTCAGGAAACTGAGAAGCCTAGAAGCTGATAAATTGTCAGTAAGAAGCCTTTTTTTGGTTTTTTTTTAGTTTGTGGTAAACATCACACTCTCCTTTGTCTCGCTTGACTCCTACCTTAGACAACATGTGTAATTGTGATTATGTCACACTTGCCTCCTTCCCCTCATTAGATCTTAACCTTTTTTGGGGGCATCATAGACCCCTTTGTCAGTCTGGGGAAGCCTGTGGACTCCCTCTCAGAATATCATCTTCAAAATGCATAAAATAAAATATTTAAGATTACAAAGCAAGCCAATTACATTCAAATGCAGTTATCAATATATTTTTAAGAAGCAAGTTCATGGACCTCAAGTCAAGGACCCTTGCACTGTACTGTAAAGTCCTTGAGAGAAGAGACTGTATCCTTTTCCATCTTTGCATTTCCTATGTTTCAAACAATGTGTTGCTCCTGGTAGGTGATTAATATGTTTGCTGACTTTGTTGAATTGAAAGTATTTTTTGAAAAGGAAAGGGTCACACAGACACACACGTGTCTGAGGCCAGATTTGAACTCAGGAAGATGAGCCCTCCTGATTCCAGGCCCAGTACTCTATCCACTATGCCACTTAGCTGCTATAAAAAGTACATATACTATATATGTATATACATATGTATATGCATGTATATACATTTATACTATATATGTATGTATATGTATGTATATGTACTATATATATGTATAGTATATATACATATGTATATGCATGTATATACATTTATACTATATATGTATGTATATGTATGTATATGTACTATATATATGTATAGTACATCTACAGTAGTCATCAATAAAATAAAAAATGAAAAACCTTTGAGTTGCATGTTACAGGAAAGCAACACACTTATCAGAGGCAGAAGCCACAGCCTCTAACATTTGTCCTGTTCATCAGCCTAGAGCACGCACAGACACGTACAACCCTACAGTTAAGTCTGATGACCCTTTTCAGGAAGAAAAAACTACAAACATTCTATTGGACATGTAGGTGGTTTATATGTTTGTCTTTTGAGTATTCATGAATCCAGTTAATATAGTTTTTCCTTGATTCATGCTAAAAAAAGAAGGAGGAGGAAGGAGAAAGAAGGAAGGAAAAGAAAAGGGAGAAGGAAGGAGAAGAAGAAGAAGTAGAAGAAGAAGAAGAAGAAGAAGAAGAAGAAGAAGAAGAAGAAGAAAGAAGAAGAAGAAGAAGAAGAGGAGGAGGAGGAGGAGAAGAGGAAGAAGACAACAACGACGACCCTGTGTGACCCTGGGCAAGTCACTTAACCTTGTTTGCCTCAATTTCCTCATCTATAAAAGGAGCTCCAGTATTTTGCCAAGAAAACCCCAAATGGAGTCATGAGGAGTTGGATGTGACTGAAAAATGATTCAACAACAAACAACAATACTTTAGGGAAATGGTGTAGTCTTTTTTTTTTTTTGTAAACAGATCTCTCTACTTTTTTCCATGGGTCAACCTTTCAGGTAGAATTTAGTTCAGAATTATTGCCTAAAAGATATACACTAACTCTTAGTGTCAGAAATGAAACAAGCCTTTACCTGTCCTCATCACAGTGGGATTCTCTCCACCCCCAACTTTCATACACTGGTTCTCTAGCCTGCCCCAGTTTGAATGTGACAGGAGATAAATCATTTTGCATCTTACAAATATACCCTCCTTCTGTGCTCTTGCTAAGTTTTCCCAAAGCCAATTGTTATCCCTTATCTACTTTGCCTGATAATTTCCTACCCATTCTTTAAAGCCCAATTCAAATATTATATCTTCTGTGAAAACTCACCTGATAATAATTACCTTGGCCTCTTTAATTTGATCACAGAACTTAATTTTACAGCCATCTAATGCTCTTACCATGAAACATATTGTTTAGTATGGTACAGTTGAAAGTGTATTGAATTTGGAGGTAAAGAATCTGAATTTGAATCCTGAATCTCCCCTTTGTGTGAACTTGGGGCCTCAGTTTCCTCATCTGCAAAATATAGGAGTCAAACTCAATGCCCCAAGGCCTCTCTTAACTTTAGATCTAAGAACCGATCTGTATTGATATCATATTCAATCTATGTTTTTTTTTTTTCTCATCCATCTACTGTGCTTTAAGCTCCATGAGAACATGTAGGTCCTGAGCACATATCATAGTTCTGTACAAGTAGTAAGCACTTAAATGTTTGTGAACTGAGATCCTTCAGAAGACTGATGTAAAACTCAGAGGGTAGTTTTCAACTGATGGTCTTTATCTTAAATTGTTTTTGAGTGGGGCAAACAGTTGCTCCTTGACATGTGGTGGAATTCTTAGGATCTTGGAAGAATATGTTTAGTGCTAGAAGCAAAATGAAAGGTGATGTAGTCTAGTCCCATCAATTTACAGATAAGGAATTAGGGATAAGAAACATTAAGTGACTTGCCCAGGGTCACACAGCTAAAAATGTATTCGAGGTAGGCTTTGAATCCAGGTCTCCATTATTCTACATTTAGCACTTCCTCCACTATGCCCTTCTGCCCTTCAAAAGATTGCATCAAATTAAAAGAAAGTGTTTATGCTGTAATGTCAGTCAGTCCATAAGTGTTTATTGAACACCTACTATGTGACAAGAGCTGTGCTTAAACACTGGGGATACAAAGATGTGAAGCTATTTCTCTGGGTCAGTATTATGGCAAAATTCTACAACTCATGGGCTTTCACAGATTGGTTAATTTTAAAAAATATCATTTGAATTTTTCTTTTACTTGCTCTCATATGGTTCCTCTTATCCCTTTGGAACAATTTAAACAATTCAGTCTCTTAGCACTGCTGTTCTTCACTTTAAGTAAATTTGATAGATGGAACGTCAAACCTGCACATAACTAATGCTCCATTAGGCTAAACATGAGATCATAGGGTCTTTGGCTAGGGTGGAATATAGTGAAAATAGCAAGGAAGTGATGGATCTTAGTGATACAATCTCAGCTCATATATCTTTAGATTTTTGGGGTTTATAAAGTGTTTTCCCCATAATATGCATTTGTAAGTAGACCCTTGCGGTATTATCATCATGTTTTATGAATGAGGAAACTGTGGCTTAGAAAGGTTCATTCTTTGCTTTGAGGCACAGAACTAGCTAGTGATGGTCAGAATTGGGATATTATGAAAGAAACACTGAGAGGACTTGGTGACAGACTGGTCAAGAAGATGTAGATGGGACATTACAGTCAGCTTCTGCTGTCGGAAGGGTGGTCATTTAGAAGAGGAATTGGACTTATTCTGTATGGTCTTTTGAGATCAAAATTAGAAGTAGTGAGTAGAACTGCAGAAAAAAAAAACAAAACGGCTTAATAGAAGGAACTTTGGGGAAGTCACACTTCTCCAGGGTTTGATTTCCTTATCTGTAAAATGATGGAATTTGAGTAAATAATTTCCAAGGTCTTCCAAACTCTTCATCCTAAAACCCTGTGAATTACAGATGGATGCTTGATCAGATGACAGGTTGTATGCTAATATAAGTAATAAGGCAAATACCTTATATGATCCAGTGGAAGGTTCTTTAAAAAGGAAAAAGAACGCAGTGGTTCAGATGGAGATAAAGTTTCTCATTGGGGAAAAATGCAAGTGAAGGAAACAACATGTCACAGTGAAAAAGACACTGAACTGGGGGTGAAGATGCTTGGATTCTCATTCCCATTCTTCCACTGCCTCACTGTGTGAACTTGGGCAAATTTCTTGACTTTTCTGTGCCTCTGTTTCATTAGATATACAATGAGGAGGCTGCATTAGATGATCTCATTGAGCTCTGACGTATGAGAGTCTAGAGAAACAATTCATTTTGAATTATATAACATCTTGAAGTTAAGGAGTTTTAAAGCCTGACCTGCACCACCTGTTGTGGGATAGTGGGATCTTCTGGCTAAGGGTTGGCTTACATCCCCAATCCATTTTAGGGACTCTGGAGGACTGTGGGGATCTGATGCAGATCTTTTGCATTGTCTTCTTTCCCTATCACTGAGCCATAGGAGTGGGAGTTCTTGGGAAAATACTTCAAGGGAATCAATTTTATAACTAACT